GCGAGTATGCGCAATAGTGTGCACGCTTTTGGCACCCGAGGTGAAAAAGGTTCGCCATCACTGCATAATACATTCACAGACAGCTGAGGAAAAGTAGCTGTGGGAGATATCTGCAGGGTGTGATTTAAAAAAAATATATCTCAAAATGGCAGCCACAATGGGGCACAACACTGTCCATCTTTTAAGTGCAATATTAAAAAAAAAATGGAGTTTTGATCACACTGTTACCACTGCCATTGTGAGGTGTGGGCTGAGTTTTGTTTTTTTTACACCATAATCTGAAGACACCCCTGATAACAGCAGCACAAGGGAAGAGTTCTTGGGGTAGCAATTACTCTGAGGAAACCACTAGATTTACACATCATCTTTCTATATCAAGAGCTCCTGCATTGCAATAGATGTTCCTCTGTTTTCTGGCATAAAATACAAGTTCACAGATAGATTGGGTATAATTGGAAATTGACTTCAGTCATTGTGTGAGAACAGGCAGGATAAAAGAATCCTCCACTCCTCTACTCACAATAGAATTCCCTATGGCACCAGGCTTGAAATTTTGGATAATCTGGAACTGCGCCGCCTGTGGTTCGATCTAAGCACAGTACACAAAATTGTCTGCTACGACGTCTTGCCTGTTAACGACTTCTTCAGCTTCAACCACAATAATACACGGGCAAACAATCGATACAAACACAAGGTAAATTGCTTCAAACTTGATTGCAGAAAATACGACTTCAGCAACAGAGTGGTCAATGCCTGGAATGCTCTACTTGACTCTGTTGTTACAGCATCAAACCTTCACAACTTCAATCTCAAACTGTCTAACATGGACCCCACCCCATTCACGCCCCGTAAAGGGGGCGTGCATAAGGTCACCATCATCCCTGTCCTACTGTCTCCATTTATCTGTATTTACTTCCTTTGTTCATGTTTATATTCATACCTAAACTTGCTATCTTGTTCATGTTTGATAAATAAATAAATAAATGGTATACATTAGAACTCCATTTAATGCAGATTTAATCAATGGGAAATAGAGTAAAATGGTGATAGCATTTACCATTATTCTGAATATTTTTGCTTCCAAGATTTCAAAGCAGTCTTGCATCTTTCGCTGGACACTCATTTCAGACTCCTGGAAAAAAGAATATATATACTCGGTGGTAAACTATTATCTTAATATGAGTAGATTATGTCCAACTAAATAGAATACTTAATAGAACTGTAAAGATGGAAACACACTTTGATTCCTGCAATGGATGAATGGCTGCCAAAAAATGGATGGAGTCAGCAGAGATGGCTAAATTGACTGTTTTGATTAAATAAATGAATACGATCAGTTTCGTTTCCATTTGGAAACCGCTTTTGGATTTTGTGCTTGCAATGGAAAAAAAATAATGAAACTTTGACTTTGGGTTTTGCTGATCAGATAGGTTTGTTGTTATAGAAATGGCTAGTGCTGTATATAAAGCTCCAGGTTTCCTGGGTCCAATCAAGTCCAAGTCTAGGAGGCAGTGCTCATGTTTGTTACTAAGCTGAAGAAGCCAACATTGTCTGAAAGCCCTTCCATGGTCATGTGGTCAGCACAACCGTATGACTGAGACACACAGAATGTGTTACTTTCCCACCAAAGTGGTACCTATTTATCTACTTGCATTGGCATTCCCTTTTGAATTGCTAAGTGGCCAGTTGCTGGAGCAAGTAATTGCAGCTCACACCGTTGCTCAGGTCTCGAATCCGGGCTATCAGCTTTCCAGTTGACAAACTCAGCATCTTTAACTGCGGAACCATCACATCTCGTGGCTAGTATATATTACTAGTTGGATACCTGTGCTTCACCATGAAACTAAATGATCGGGCTCCTCTTCTCTCTCTCAGACTTGCCCCACAGAAGCCTCTTCTCTCCTATCCCCCTTCTCTCCGGTTACTTGTCCCAGCTTCTGCTAACCTAGCAGTTCAAAAGCATGTAAAAAAGGCAAGTAGTCATGCCGGCCACATGACCACGGAGATGTCTTCAGACATCTTCGGCTTTGAAATGGAGATGAGCACCTAGAGTCGGGAACAACTAGCACATATGTGCAAGGGGAACCTTTACCTTTACCTAAAGGAAATTACAATGTGATGTTTGGGTTGAAAGCTAGACCTCCACTTCTATCACCAATGGTTCTACAGAATAAGAAACAATATATCAGTGAAATTCCATTCACTGGAAAGCATCCTGTACCTTTCTAGCATTTTGAGAGGTCTCCTGAAGTCGGCTTTGAGTTTCTTCCTTAATGTTCTCCGTAACCTGCTGAAGGTCATCTCTCTCTTTTTGAAGCAATGCCTTCTCTTTCAATAGCTGTTGAACACATTTCTCCTGCTCCCGCAATTCGGCTGTCAACTGTTTCTTTTCCTCATTAAGGCTGCTTGTCTCTTTGTTTAATTTTATTATCTAAGGAATTAAATGTTACACCATTACTGCAGCAGCCTTTCTCAGATAGTGCCTTTGAGAGATAACAACAGTTTTGGACCCTTATGTTTCAGGGTGAAAATATGGAAGATGCAAGGTTAGGGAAAACTAAATCAAAGCCTGTGTAGCATCAAGTTTTATCTAAAGAACAGAGCAGAACATATTGGCCAAATATGATTGGACACAAAAGGAATTTGTCTCTGGCACATAAGCTCTCAGTGTACATTAAAAATAACAAAGTAACCATAAGATACCAATAGGAGAAGGTAGTGGGAAAGATGAAAAGGATAATAGTAATACAGACTTACTACATGGGTAAATATCCTTAGACATAAGACAGTCCTGTGAAGATTAGGTATTCAGCAAAGAGAGAGGGGGGGAAATGTCTCTGTGTCTAGTTGTTTTGGCATGCAATGCCCTATAACCCTATCTAGATGGGAAACAGTTTAGTCCATGATGTGAAGGTTCTGTAGCAGGGATGAAATCCAGCAGGTTCTGACAGGTTCTAGAGAACCGGTAGCAGAAATTTCGAGTAGTCCGGAGAACCAGCAAATGCCACCTCTGGCTGGCCCCAGAGTGGGAGTGGGAATTTTGCAGTATCCTTCCCCTGCCCCGCTCACAGAACTGGTAGCAAAAAAAATTGAATTTCACCACTGGTCTGTAGGTAACTTCTCAGCTCTCTTTCTGACCCATGTGGTATTCAGGTCCTCAATGGAAGGCAATGGAATACTAAAAAATTAAAATTTGCTTCTTTCCCTAAACATCTAAATTCCTTAGAGTACTGTTTAAACATTTCAAATCATTTTAGAGTCACAAATGCTATTTTCCCAACTTTCCAGTTCAGTACATATTTAAAATACTTAATGTACAAACATAATACCATTCATCGGAAAGCATCACATACCTTTGCAGCGTTTTCAGATAAGGTCTCCTGAAGTTGACTTTGAGTTTCCTCCCTAATGTTCTCCATAACCTGCTGAAGGTCATCTCTCTCTTTTTGAAGCAATGCCTTCTCTTTCAATAGCTGTTGAATACATTTCTCCTGCTCCCGCAATTCTGCTGTCAATTGTTTCTTTTCCTCATTAAGGCTGCTGGCCTCTTTGTTTAATTTTATTATCTAAGGAATTAAATGTTACACCATTACTACAGTAGCCTTTCTCAGCAAGTGCCTTAGAGAGATAACAAGAATTTCGAACCCTTATATTTCAGGGTGAAAATATGGAAGATGCACGGTTAGGGAAAACTAAATCAAACCCTGTGTAGCATCAAGTTTTGTCTAAAGAGCAGAACAGAATATATTGGCCAAATGTGATTGGACACACGAGGAATTTGTCTCTGGCGCATAAACTCTCGTACATAAAAACAACAAAGTAATATAATCATGATACCAATAAGAGGAGGTAGCAGGAAAGATGAAAAGGATAATAATAATAATACAGACTTACTACACGGGTAAATATCCTTAGACATAAGACAGTCCTGTGAAGATTAGGTATTCAGCAGACAGAGGGAAAATTGTCTATGGGCCTAGATGTTTTGGCATGAAATGCCCTATAATAATATCTAGACGGGAGCAGTGAAATAGTTTATGTCCATGATGTGAGGAGTCTGTAGGTAACTTACTCAGCTCTCTTTCTGACCCATGTAGTATTCAGGTCCTCAATGGAAGGCAAAGGAATACTAAGGAAATTAAAATTTGCTTCTTTCCCTAAACCTTTGAGTACTCTGTTTAAACATTTCAAATTATTTTAGATTCACAAATGCTATTTTCCCAACTTTCCAGTTCAGTACATATTTCAAATACTTATGTACAAACATAATACCATTCATCAGAAAGCATCACGTACCTTTGCAGCGTTTTCAGAGGAGGTCTCCTGAAGCTGGCTTTGAATTTCTTCCTTAATGTTCTCCGTAACCTGCTGAAGGTCATCTCTCTCCTTTTGAAGCAAGGTCTTTTCTTTCAGTAGCTGTTGGACACATTTCTCCTGCTCCCTCAATTCGGCTGTCAACTGTTTCTTTTCCTCAGTAAGACCTCTTACCTCTTCATTTGATTTTATTATCTAAGGAATTAAATGTTACACCATTAGTTCAGCAGCCTTCCCCAGCTAATCCCTTTGAGAATAAATGCAGTTTTTTTAAAAAAACCCATCATTCAAGGTCAAAATATGGAGGATGCAGTTAGGGAAAACTAAATCAAAATCAAGATTAATGGTAAACAGTACTAAGGAAATTAAAATTTGTGTTTCCACTAAACAGTGAAGTCCTTAGAGTACTCTTTAAAAAAAAATTACATTATTTTTAATTTAGCTGCAGTGCAGTAAACATTTAAAGTATAAAAATATTTAAAGTAGTATGTGGTACTACTGTACTGATATACAAATCTAAACATGACTATAATCACTTAATTGGCAACTTTCAAAATGTAATCACTTGTCTAATTAGATTACACTGTAGGTTCCATTCCAATGTGTTTCTAGGTATTCTAAATTTGGAGAATTTCTAAATTTTCCTCTTCTGCAACTCAGTCCTTCTGGGTTATTGGCAGAGGTTCTTAAAAGTCAAGATGGGAACTGTGACTATGCAATTAAAGCTTTACATTTTGTGTGTGTGCCATGATTGCACAATTGCACCCACCATGTTTGACCACATCCTCCACCAGACACACCTGTATAATCAGAATAAGCTTTGCTTTGTTCTACTTTCTTAAGACTTTCCCTAAACAAGAAGCCACATTTCAATTAGACAGTCTTTAAGATTAAATAATGGCTAGTGAATATCTGAAACAGTCCTCCTTCCATTTTAATCATTAAAAATTAACTCTTATGTTAAACCTCACTTGCACTGATCTGGCGCAGGTATTTAACCCACATTCCTAGATAATTCTATTCCATAATACATTTTTTTCTGTTTTATTGTCCTGTGCAGTTATACCCATTTCAATTTAGCATGCTGTGTAAATTATCCTAGTCTGCTTCATTTTATAATTTATAATTAAAACAAATCATGGCTTAGTATGAATGTAGTCAGTATTAAAGAATTCTGACTGAAGTTCCCTTAAAATCACAGGAACTCAAATAAAGAAGCAATTCTAAATTGCCCAGAAAAGGGTAACTTTAAAATAAAGAAAATGAAAAAATCCTTTAATTTTAGTTCACAGTTACTGGCAGGGTGATAGTGGAAACAATTGAAGTATATTCTAGATCTCCTGCTAAGGACTATGATTTTGTTTTAGGATATTTTATTTCTCAGTATCATCCCTGCGATACTAAGGGCCACCAGTCATCTTTTGATTCCTACAGGAATGTCTAACCTGCAGTAAGTATATTAGAGAGTTGTCTGCATAAAGCAGAATAGCCATGTGTTTTTCTGACAACATGGTGTGTGCTTGTTTATGCATGTGTGAAAGTCCAGGTCCCCCTAGTGGCCCAGCTTGAACTTTATGAAAAAGTTAAACAGGAGTGGAGGAAATAAATAATGTTGTTTGACATCCTAGAAGATAAATACCCCTCTGGGGAAGAATGTTTGGCATGGACCAGGACCAAAAACATTCGTAAGATAAGGATCTCACTTGATTTTTCAAGTTGCATGATCCAAATTCAGGACAAAAATGTAAATTAGTTTTAATGTAATTTATATATTTTATAATTTGGTCTAATTTCTAAGAGCCAAAGAATCCAGCCTAATCAAATCAAACTCAAATCCAGTGTCTTGGAAACCAATTAGACTGTGATTGCAAGCCTATAAGAAGGACATGACCAGGACAATATGTTCCATTGACACTGGTCTTCAGAATGATGCTACTGTTGAAAGGGGAGGTGGCACAAAATTCTAAGAGCTGTTGAATGCTGATTGCTTCAAATTTAGTTAAACCTGCTTTTTATAATAGTTCCTTTTTATCTGTCTAGGCTTCATTAAAAAACAACTTGTAATTTTCTTACTTTTTCTTTTAGGTGCTTTGTTTCTTCTTTAATCTCTTCTTCTAATTTCTGAAACATCTGTTGTTGCTCAAGAACCAAATTCTTCTGGGTATTTACCTCATCTTCTTGTGATTTTACATATATCAACAATTTATCCAGTTCAAGTTGACTATGCTCACTCTTAATGTGTGTGTGTGAAGAGAGAGGGGGGGGGGAGAGAATGTCATGAGATACAATTATTCAGGACATCAGTTGCAATATTAAGAGTTCATACAATAGCGATTCCACCAATTCTTTTAGGTTAAATAAAAAATATTGACCAGGGGAAAGGGGGCGGAGGAGAGTTTAAAACAGCAGACACTCTTTAGTATTAAAACACTTTAAAATGGTATCTTTCTTACTTTTTTCTTCAGCTCCTCATGAACTTTTAAAGTCTGAAAATCTGTAGTTACGATTTTTTCTTTTAGTTCTTCTACCATTTCCTTATGTTCTCTGAGAGAATTGTTAGCCTCCCTCAGTTCTTGCTGTAGTTCCAAATTCTTTAACAACAAAAATAAATAAAATAAATTCACATGCAATCAAGCTGACCACCACATTTAAAGAAAATCTTAATCCAATAAAAAGGATTTCCTGCAAAAGGGGCAGCAAATTAAATCGCTTTGAAATAAAATGGCAGAAAATAAATTGAATGAATGGAATGAATGAATTCTTACCACTGGAACAAGCCTCTCTATAGTCTCACTCAGACGATGGACTGTTTGAATCATGTTATCCTTCTCGGCTTGAAGAACCTCTATTTCTGTTCTTAGATTCTCTTTTTCTTGGCTGAGGTATTTGACGTTTTCTTCACTGCTCTGAAGTGTCTGAACAAGCTCGGTTTTCTCCCTCTGCAAGGCTTCCATTTGAGACTCAGAGATACTTAGCTGTTCATCATCCTTCGTCTTCTCTACATTCTGCTGACTCTCCTCTTCTTTCAGGCAGAGCAGTTGTCGCAGCTCGAGAGAATTGTTTTCTAGGTATTGGAGCTGAAACATGATTTTTATGAAGAAGAATTGGGCTATTTTGCATTTTGCATTCCAAAACGCCTGATTACTGTATTTTCCAGACTATAAGATGCACCAGAGTATAACACGCAGCAAGATTTTTAACAGGTAAATTAAAACAAAAGTTTTTTGCCCTCCCCAGCCCCCAGGAGTACTCTGCAAGCCTCCCAAGCCCTCTGCACACCCCCTTTTTGTGAAAAAGGGGGCTGCAGAAAGTTTGAGGGCTGCAAAGTGCTCCTGGGGGCTGGGAAGGGCAAAAAACCAAGCAAAAAGCCTCATTTTTCATGAAAACGACCCCCTCCCTTTTTGTGCAAAAAAATGGGCTTGCAGAATGTTTGGGAGGCCTGTAGAGTGCTCCTGGGGGCTGCAAAAGGGCAAAACAATGAGCAAAAAATGGCCCAGTATTTTTTTTTAAACAAAAAACGGGGGGTGCAGAGTTTGGAAGGCCTGCAAAGTACTCCTGGGGCTTGGGAGGAAAAAAACAGTCTCATTTTTGTGAAAAATGGGCCCATTTTTC